CCCTCCCTCCCTTCCCCAGCGGCTAGTTCCGATGAGGCGCGCGGGAGCTTCCGCGTGACATCGTAATAATGCCCTCCGAACTCATTGACTGAGTTATGCGTCGCCGGGAACACAACACACACGGCGCGAGCGCGCGCGCACGGAAATGGGGGCAAAGTGGGCCGGAGCAGAGCGAGAGGAGCATGTTGGGAGGGAGGCCCTGTTGGCGCGCGAGATGATTGTCAGAGACAAAACTGTCCCGACGAACGAGATGCGCGTGCTCCCGGAAAACGACAGGCATCTTGTACAAGGTAAAAACACAAAGAAGTGCGGCAGGGAAATAACGGAATGTGAGAAGGGATCATTCTCACATATTGACCACCAAGTAACGCGAGGTAACGTGGGACGTAAAAAGTTTGTCTTGCCAGAGAAGCGCCCGCACTTTGGAAGCTCCGGGCGGGCCACCGTCTTCACAGGGCTGCTTGGCGGGTTGGCCTACCCAGCACGCAGCAGGCGCTGTTTGGGGACACCTAGCCTTGACGGTTTACAATCAGATCAGACCACCAGCATCTGAGAGGTACTCATGGGCTCGTCTGAGGGTGGTTTTCGATAAATCAGAGTGATTGCTGTTTACGATTCCGAACATGTCGAAACCACTTCCAGAGCAAATACTAAATTAAGAAAATGTCAATGTATTTATTTTTACCATCATTTTTTTTTCAGTTCCAGTATACGCGTCGTCGTCGGTCCCACGCCGATCGGGGAGAGGTTGTTGTTATTATTATTATCGAACGTCGCGCCGGGCCGCGGCCCGCGGGGACGGGGGAGGACGGCGTCGACAGACAGGGGACCACGCGGAGGTCGCCCCGCCAATGCCCCGTCAATCATCTGCCGTTTGCGGGGTGGCGGGTCGTTGCGAGGCGCGGGCGTTACTGCACAGTATTGTCCTATTGTCACTTTTACGTCGTCGTTGGGACCTGATAATTACGGTAACAATTCCTAATTTAACTTCCGAGTAGTCGAGATTCCAGGGAAAGATTATAACTAAATGGATAGCGAAAACAGCTGAAAAGAAGTGGTACAGTCATGAGGGGGAAGGGGGAATGACCAGCCATATGTGACTGGTACAGCCCTGATAGGATAGAGGTGGTTGTACCCTGTAATTACTTATTTGAGGAGACGTGACCCTTATATAACATTAAGCCTCGTAATACAAATACCATAAACATTGACAAATGACCATGTATAAGAATGATCTCCAAAATCTTTGCAAGACACATGAAAAGTACCTGACATGATGGTGGAAAACGAGTGCATCAGTGTTTTCAACCACTGCAAATCATAATAGTGCCATCACAACTTTATCTGACAGGTGTGAAAAAAAGTTACCCGAAGCAGAACTTCCAAAGAATATGTTTATTTCACCCTCTACCTGCCACTGGTAAAAAATAACATAATGTACGTTCTTACTTGTAAAAATCGACTACAACAACAATAAATGGAATGGTTTATCACAGATAGAAAATGCCATATCATAGAAATTAATTGAAAAGAATCTGCAACCACAATTGAATCAATCAGGATTGAGATGGGTATATTCTCACCAAATCTTCCATAGTAGCAGGATAATGAGTGACTGGACAAGTTGAAGTTTTGATGAGATGAGTTCTAATGCAGCGATAGCAAAAGACTAATCTACAAAAAGACAATGAACAAGAACTGTAATTTTAAAATACAGGATGATCCATAGGCAAGGTATGTAAGACAACAACTTACCCTGATACACTCAGTAACGTCTCAACTTTCCATGGGTTCATACAAATAGGACAAACACCTCCAAATCGCTCAGAATGTTCTCCAATCTTAAACAAAGTATGGTTATCACAGATATAAAATTTAAATTGTGAACTTAAAACATTTCAAATCTATAAAAACAATTAAAATTGAATTTTTTAGTTGGTACTTACTGGAGGAGTTTCTGGTACTGGCAAAGCTGTTATATCAGTACGTGTCTGCTCAGAATGCCACCATTGTAAGAATTGAATGAAAAATGCAGCCAACTCCAAGCCTCTGGTCATCACTGATCCAACTGTTTTCATTGAGGGTAAACTTGGCCTGAAAGAGAAATTAAAATGAAATAAATAATAATGGAATAGAATAAATCCCATGACAAACTCAAAAATCAAATATCTCACCTGAAACTACCTGAAGACAGAGCCTGCCACATCTGAGAAAATGAGTAATCATTCATGTCCTCTTCAGCATACACCAAGGCAACTTTAGTAAGTGTAAGAGCAGGCGAGTGTGAGTTAGAGCGACCTGACAAGTAACGAAGATACTGAACTAAAGTCCACAGTTCCCAAAAGAGATGAAAAGCTTGATGGGATTTCATTAATAATTGTCTTGCATTTCTTTGCCAGCCCTGGAGGAATTAAAGAGAATGGTGATCGAGCAATCAAAAAAACATGCAAAAGCTTCAAAATATAAAAATAAACTGAATTAAAGTAACTCACACTTTGAGGGGCAACACCATCTGCTTCTTCCAGCTGATATTTTATGGATAGATCTTCAAGCTTTGATCTAAGGTAAGGAAAGACAGTTAGAAAGAAGAGAGACATAAACTTCTCTCTTCTCGGTAAATTCCCTGGCGAAGAACCAGTTTTGAGATATAGTCGTTGTAAGCCATAGAATGTCTCCGCAAATGATCCTCCTGTTGAAAATTTAAGAAATAAGTAAGTGACATCAAATCATTGTGAAAAAAAAAGCTTTGATATTTTTGTATTTTGAAAAAAAATATAACAAGAAAACTTACCATTGTAAGACAAGTAGTGCGATTGAAGGATGCTGTTGAACACTAAATACACCTCCTCGAACCACAGTGAAAGCCAGCCATATTTCTCAGGGTTACGAGCAATAAAAAACTGAAAACCAAACGTGGAAAAGTAAAGAGAAAGTTAGAATCCAAACAAATTTGATCAAAGTGACAATGCAGCTTTAAGTTGGGTACCTGCAGAACACGCTTAGCAGCAGGTTTAAAAGTTGCTGTAAGGGTATCTTGAGCAACAACTTCAAAAATAGAAGGTTTGTTTAAAACTGTTGTTGTGAGATGAGCGCCTCTTTCTGCCATCGCAAAATCATCGAATTGGGGCAAAATAGATTAAGTAAACAAAAGTGAGAAACTACAACAAAAACATGGACAAAAAGCAAGCCGGACAGAGCAGACGACAACGAGTTGGTAGATTGAGGTGGATATTGCAGTTCGATTATCTCTGCCTTCTGTCCTACGCACTTTCGCGTCGTCTGCTTCGATTATTGTATTTGAGCAGTTATCGGAGACAAGATTTGTTGATATCTTTTTGTAGAAATTTCACAAAAGATCTTTGACATGCGTCGTTTAAGTATTTTTCGAAACACACTGCAAATGCTTTCACCTTTAACCAGACCTAAAGCACCTTTACTTCCACAAGCATCATCACACGTTGTGTTTCGCTGCTATGCCGGTGAGGTTAAGATCCTTGTGGGAAACTTCAGAACAATCATGTGCTGTACTTGTGTTCACTAATTACTATTTTTAAAATTCTTATCATATCACAGCACCACCTAAGAGATTTTACAAACACACAGGAGTGTTGTATTGTGATGGTCAGTATGAAATCACTCTAGATCAACGTAAACTCAAAACACCTAAAGGAACTGTGTTTCGAGTGAAGAGTGAGCCTTTAGCTCTTGCTGTGGCATTGGAATGGGATTCTCAGAAAGAACGCATATTGCAGACTGATATGCATCTGGTAAGTTGTACTTATTAAAATAGAGTCAATAATTTTTTATTTATTTATTCAATTATTACGCATTTTGTTTGTTTTTTCCAGTCTAGTTTGTGCAACACAGCATTAGACAATCCAAACCATATTGTCAAATTTGATGCTGTGCAGCAAATCCTTTCATTTTTAGAAACAGATACAATTTTGTACCAATCAGCTGACGACGACAACCCTGTATGTGGTTTAATTTTGTTATTTGTTCTTTTTCTCTTAGAAGTGTATCTTAGAATGTATGTATTTTTCCAGAATGCACAAGCTTTGTACGATATGCAAGTTCGTGAATGGAATCCAATTATTAACTGGTTCAATGAGAGATTTGGGGTGGATTTGCAGCCAACAAGGGATATAGGTAGTCCACATGTTAGTGATGAATCAAAGGCAGCTATTCAGCGCCATCTCTTATCCTACAATGATTGGGCTATTCACGGTGTGTATACCTTATAGTCGAGTTTAAACAAAAATTAAATATTATTAAAACTTGATTTTTATTAACTTTTAGGGTTTTGTTTTGCTGTGGATACTTTGAAGTCAATAATTCTGACACTTGCTTGTGTTGAACGCCTCATAACAGTTGAACAGGCTGTGCTCCTGTCAAGATTAGAAGAAGAATATCAGGTTGGTTTTTAGATCTTTAGTTGTTCCTATTTCTTCCGACAGAAAGCTGCCTCTGCCTTACTCAGCTCTATTTATATTTTTTGCAGAGTGGTTATTGGGGAAGAGTAGAGTGGGCCCATGACTTGAACCAACAACAGATGCAGGGACGTGTTGCTGCTGCTGTTTTATTTATTCATTTAAATTCTAGTTCTGTAGCTGTGCGGCGGAAGGATACTACGTAAGTCCATACTCTTTGCGATGATCTTTAATGAATATGAAGGGGCATTTACAATCTAAATATTAGATTGCTTGTCGTTGTCTTATAGAAACCTATATTCAAATAAAACGCTGGTGTTACAATATCTTTTTTCTAACGACCTTTCTAAAGGGAGATAGATTTATGAAGTGTAGGAAAATGAACCAAGAAATTATTTAGACCATTGCACCCTTCAAAACATTCTATTATATTTTTCTATAATATAAATCTACTTAATTTTGTAATGCTGAGAAATTTTCACAACCATGGGTATTTTATGACTTAAATCAATACATATTTTGCATTAATTTTTTTATAAATGCAAGACTAGTCAACATTACAGAATCCCACTCAGGGAATTCGTTTTTGGAATGATGAGATAAAAATTATTTCTTTTTCATTATAGTAAAATTCACATCAGGAATGTTTCAGTAAAACATATCACAAGTCATGACAGAACAAAGACTCTTCAATAAAAAGAACAGCTTCTGAAAGGAATGGCAAATCGTTTGCTGTTGCTTGGGAAACAAAATTGGCTAGTCTCTATAGCTAACAGGTCATTTGTTCATTGAACTTAGTTAATAGATAAAAGAAATTTGATATCTTAAATAAAATGCATACACTGCATGCAAAATTTTTGACAAAAATAATTTTGAACTATGTTATGGCATTTTGCGTGTACGCTCATTTGGCAAGGATACACAATACTTCTGAAATATTATTCTGTACAATGGAAGCACTCACAAAATAAGTGACTGGCAGTGATTTCTTCACTTGAATTTCTCATTGCTTCTGTGTTCAAGGCCAGACCTTGTTGAAGTACTCCATAAAGCTATCATAAATCATGAAGGTAATTGCTACGTCTAATGTGACACGGCTGAGACGAGGAACTGTGCCCTTGTAGAACCTGCAAGTCGAGGAAGAAACAGCAGACATTAAGTCAAAATAATCAGTGGCTGACACATACAGTAGTAAAATAAGTTTATGCTTACGCGAAAAATCCTTCATTTTTCCAAATCTGGACAGCACAGTCCACAGTATTTTTGTACTTGTGAGCCTCCAAACCCTACAAGGAAAAGTTATTTTGTTTTTAGATACATGACCCAACAGAAGTACTTTTTTGCTCTTAGGTGCCTAAGTTAGCTTACCTGCATTCTTGTTTTCACCACATCAATTGGTGTGTTTCCAAAAACAGATGCAGTTCCAGCAATACCACCAAACAGTCCAGTGACTAATTTTGGTACTGCTACAGAGTTATCTCCTCCACGGTACATGTCTTTCAAAGTTTCGACAACGTAGAAACGTATGGCTTGGTTACTACCCTGCTTAATTATGGTGGCAGTCACACCCTTGTAAACACCTCCAAGACCTTTAAGACAAATTAGTTTGTTGTTCCAAAATTAATTTTTAGAAGTTGACAGTAACATACTAAGAGCAGACGTACAGCTACATACCTTGTTCCTTAACAATTAGGCCAACACCATGGAAAAATCCCCTGTAACGAGGATTTGCTGACCGCTGGTCATTAATAAATTTAACTTTCACTGTTTCCATGGGTGTAACAGCAAAAATAGCTTCACACACACCAGCACCTAAACCACAAAGTAAGCGTGTGGAAGCAGTCAAATTACCCTTATCATCAGCCATTTTCCCCTTAAATGACTCAAATGCTCCAAAGCTGAATTGCTGTGGCATTGGAATGGGATTCTCAGAAAGAACGCATATTGCAGACTGATATGCATCTGGTAAGTTGTACTTATTAAAATAGAGTCAATAATTTTTTATTTATTTATTCAATTATTACGCATTTTGTTTGTTTTTTCCAGTCTAGTTTGTGCAACACAGCATTAGACAATCCAAACCATATTGTCAAATTTGATGCTGTGCAGCAAATCCTTTCATTTTTAGAAACAGATACAATTTTGTACCAATCAGCTGACGACGACAACCCTGTATGTGGTTTAATTTTGTTATTTGTTCTTTTTCTCTTAGAAGTGTATCTTAGAATGTATGTATTTTTCCAGAATGCACAAGCTTTGTACGATATGCAAGTTTGTGAATGGAATCCAATTATTAACTGGTTCAATGAGAGATTTGGGGTGGATTTGCAGCCAACAAGGGATATAGGTAGTCCACATGTTAGTGATGAATCAAAGGCAGCTATTCAGCGCCATCTCTTATCCTACAATGATTGGGCTATTCACGGTGTGTATACCTTATAGTCGAGTTTAAACAAAAATTAAATATTATTAAAACTTGATTTTTATTAACTTTTAGGGTTTTGTTTTGCTGTGGATACTTTGAAGTCAATAATTCTGACACTTGCTTGTGTTGAACGCCTCATAACAGTTGAACAGGCTGTGCTCCTGTCAAGATTAGAAGAAGAATATCAGGTTGGTTTTTAGATCTTTAGTTGTTCCTATTTCTTCCGACAGAAAGCTGCCTCTGCCTTACTCAGCTCTATTTATATTTTTTGCAGAGTGGTTATTGGGGAAGAGTAGAGTGGGCCCATGACTTGAACCAACAACAGATGCAGGGACGTGTTGCTGCTGCTGTTTTATTTATTCATTTAAATTCTAGTTCTGTAGCTGTGCGGCGGAAGGATACTACGTAAGTCCATACTCTTTGCGATGATCTTTAATGAATATGAAGGGGCATTTACAATCTAAATATTAGATTGCTTGTCGTTGTCTTATAGAAACCTATATTCAAATAAAACGCTGGTGTTACAATATCTTTTTTCTAACGACCTTTCTAAAGGGAGATAGATTTATGAAGTGTAGGAAAATGAACCAAGAAATTATTTAGACCATTG